ATTATATTATATATGTGTTGGAGTAGTAAGGGTGTCACAGTTCTAACCTGTGATCGGTGGTAAGACGATCTTCGAGCAAGATCGGTGAGCCTCTTCTGCTTGACGATCTTCGGGCAAGATCGGTGAACTTTTTTTGCTTGATACGTCGACTGCTCGAAGATGGGGTTTGTATCTGCAAAAGAGACTTTAATGCTTAAGTTAGTCTTTGTGAGTGTGTAAGTGTCATATATAATACACATACCTTGATGCAGATTACGGCTTTTCCTATAAATGATAATGGGATTGATTACGATTTGATAAGATTATGATCTTATCAGTTTATCTTATCGGTTGGGGAGCGGTTCGACTTGATAAGCCGATGTGGTACCGATGTGGGTAGTACAAAAATAAAAGTGCAACTTAAAATTAATAACTCATAATTAAAGTGTCTCAAGATAAAGAAATAATATTTATCACCCAACAATCTGAAAATGACAAAGTATATATAAACTCTTTTACATATTGTATTAAGTAACCTTATATTTTATGTTATTATCAAAATTAAGATATATAGAACTAACATCACATATTGCTAATATTACATGTTAATAACTTAAACAAATTGTAAAAGCTTTCTTGTCGAATTTATTTTAAAAAATATTAAAGTATAATTTAAAGATAAATTTGATAAATCAAAATTGAATTACATGTTAAATTTTATAAAAAAAACTTTAAATTTTTCTCATCAAAATTATTTAAATAATAGTAAAAACTATTTAGTAGGATATATGTGATAACTAAAAGTTGAGTTACATAAGAAATTAAAATAATGTACAATTATGAAATATTATTTTATAGATAACTATCTAATTTGTAAGAGATTTTTGTTTTAATTTTTTTATCCAATTTGACTTTTATTTTTTATAATTATTTATTAATTAACCTTTACATATTAAACACATATATCTATCTTATCTAAGAGCATCTTTAGAGACTTTTCTTCTTCGACAAAAGAATTTTTAAAAATAAATTTTTAATCTGGCGATTGTACATGCATGTTTATTATATATAATTAATAGGAAAAGAGATACTTTGTGCTTCTATATATTTATTTTTTAAAACATTTTTAAAGAATTTTTTTATAAGTATAAGGGTAATAGTGTCCAATACAAAAATAAAATTTTATTTTTGAAAGAATTTTTTTTGTTAAATATATGAATAATAGTCTAATATAAAAATGAAAACTAAAATGATAGTTACCAAAATTTATTTTTATAATAGGTATACATTAATTGGTGTATTTTTAATGTCATATTTTTTATATGAGATCATAATTAATATTATAATTTTAATAGTTAACTAATGTGCATTTAATCATTGAACCAAAATTGTAAATTTCACTTGATTGAAGAACTAAAATTGTGAAATTAAACATTATGGAATGAAAATTGTAGATATGATATTGGCTTTGTTTGAAATTAAACAATTCTAAAAAAACTAATTTTTTAAAAAGTGATTTTTCAAATAAGATTTACTTCTTAAAAAATAGAGAACTATTTGTAAAGAAAATAAACGGTTTTTTTTAAACAATTTAGACTAGCATTTTTTTAATACCAATTTAGACCAACATGTTAAATAAGTAGAAAATTGTTTATTTTAGTTGGAAAAAAAATGGTAGCAAAGAATCAATTTTTTAACAAAAAAAATGGTAGAAATTTTATTTCTAATAATTAATGTGGGCTACATATATTATTTGTAGTTTTTATATTAACTATTTACATTTAGTTGGACTCAATAAAAGTGATCTGATTTTAGTGAACCTTTAGACTGTGAATAGAAAAAATAATATAGGCCCAAACAAGTGAGAACCAGATTTGGCCCGTTAGGGGTTAATGGAATCCTAACAGGTTTAAAATTCTAAAGATGGTCATGGTCCCCAATATGTCAAATTAAAAATAGACGTCTCTTTGTCTCCCACCAGAAGAGAAACATCAAGTCCCGTTAAATATTACTTCTTCTTAGACAGAGAAAATAATACTGTGCATCTATCACAATTTGAATTTCAATGGATTATAACACCTATTCTCACATTATTAATATTTTATATAAAATGTTATTTTCATCAATTAAACTATTGGAATGTAATTATATTTTAATAAAATTGAACAGTAATAAACTGATAATTAAACTATTTTTATTTTCATAAATTTCAATATATATATATATATATATATATATATCATGTTAATATAGAATAAACAGAATTCAAGGTAATGGGAATAAATAAGTAATTTGATTTCTAAATTATTTAGTTTGTTATGAACAACCATGTACCAAAAAAGATGATGCATTAAATTAGTAAATATGAGTATATACATGTTAATTAATAATTTAACAGGCACACTTTTTAATTGAAATTGAAAATTAAAATTCCAAGTAGATTATACTTAAAAATCATTTGATTATTTTATATTAAATAATTTATTATTAGTTTATATCATCCATTTATAAATATTTATAATTAATTAATTAATTAATAGTATTAAAAATTAAAATATAGAGGTGACTTTTGTAATGTAATATTATTCTCCATTATTTGGTCTCTTAATATTTATTTTGTTGAATATATGAATTTGTCATGTCCCTTTCTTTTAATACTAAAATTAAAAAAATAATTATATCCTTTAAAACTTATCTTTTAAGTATTTCAATATTCACTAATTATTATTTTTAGATTCAAACAAGGAGCCTAAATCACCACAACCAATTTCTTCCTCATATGAAAAAATCCATTGTAAGTACAAACAAATAACTATCTAAGAAATCAAAAGATGGATCATTATCAAATAAAAAAGTTCATTCAAGGAGAAAGATATCTATACAAATTTTTGACAAATCCTCAGATGAAGAGCCAATTCTAATTCAAAATTTAAAGAAAAAAAAGAAAAAAAAAAAAAAACAATTCAACAACCTAACACCAAAATAAAAATGACTAAATATTTATCTGAATAATGATTTGTATTCATTTTAATATCATTTTTGTTTCATTGGTGGTTTGCTATTTTATAATCAATTATTGACTTCAATAATAACTTCTTATCTTTATCTACATTCACATCAATTTCACTCTTACAAAACTAATTTTATGTAATGTTTATTTTTATATATACATACTTATTTTTAATGAATTTTTAACTTAAAATTATAGACACAAATTTGTAATATAATTAATAAAAAACTAATATATAACAATTTTTATATATTTATTTCATATCTTCATATTCCAAAATAATAGTTATTATATTACAAAATTTTAATTTACATATATTAAAATATTATCTAAAAATAAAAAAAATTCAATAAATTATGCAACGCACGGATCCATATCTAATTATAAAGAAAATTCGAAAACTATAATATAACCAAAATGAGGCAAACTAGATAATAAGATTTGTAAAATGGGTACATAGCTAATATCATATTCGGGGCAAACAATATAAGCAAATTCTTATAATGAATATTTTAATTACTCAAGACTTAGGATAAATCTATAAAATAAGATGAAGTAAGATAGCAATATTTGAAGTCAAATTAATCAGAACAAGACAAAACATGATCACAATAGTCAAAACATACATACAATACAACCGTTAGTTGGAAAACCCTCTCCTGATATTTCCCATGGTTCGGAAACTAATTTTTTTGTTGTAATAAGGAAAAATTATTTACAGTTTTTATTTATTAATATTTTAAGTTTTGTTTTAAATTAATTTGATTTCTTTGACTGGTACATAAAATAACATGTATCAAATAGGCCTCGAAGTTGGCATGAAACTCTTTTTCAAATACTATGGGCTTATAGAAACTCTCCGAGAGATGCTACACAAACTACCCCATATAAATTAGTGTATGGGCATGAGGCTATTCTTCCTATTGATATTAATTTACAATCAATTCATATACAGAAACAAAATGAATTACCTATTGATGATTATTGGAATCTAATGTATGATGAGTTGAGTTCCTTGGAGGAAGAAAGGTTAATTGCGTTGCAAAATATTGTTCAACAGAAGGAAAGAGTCGAGAAATCATACAACAAGAAAGTTAAAACACAACATTTCGAGTCGGAGACTTAGTGTTGAAAGTGATTCTTCCTGTGGATCAAAAGTCTCGATACTTGGGGAAGTGGTCATATAATTGGGAAGGTCTTTTTGTAGTAGAACAAGTATATTCAAAAAACGCATACGTGATTAAAGAAATAAGTAATTCGAGTGCGAGCAAAGTCATGAATGGGAGATACTTGAAGCATTTTCATAAGAGGATAGAATAATAATTGTTCAACACGAGCCAAACATAAATTAAAAGGAGTCGAAAAGCAGAAAAGAATCTAGTTATTACAGAATTTGGACTTAAAATCCTTGAAAGCTTTGTAAGCCTCGTCCAAACTTTTCCTACTCTCGCAAACTCATGGTTCAGTGTCACAGGCGTTGCTGTTATGGTAATTCATTGATTCATCTCTCTCTACTATCATGTTGTTGTCATTGTAATTCTTAAAAATAAAAAATAAAATACTTTTCTCTTATCACTGTTAGGATGTTTTTAACCAAAGTCTTCTATTATTGTAGTCTCTTAATATGTGCCTAGTTCATTGGATAGACAAACTGTAGTATATATGACAATTAAACTTTTCAATATCAGTAGTTGGACTGCTACCGATCTTGCAAATCGTAATAAATGTTTGAAAAACCCACATAACCAATTGTCATTAATGCTTCACAACTCATGTAGCGGTACAAATTGTCACAGAAGACTTAGGTTGTGTTTTTTGTCTTCACTATGTCTAGAATTTGTACAATTGTACGTTTCTAAAACAGGAGAAAAGATGAGAATTTATAAATTGATTGGAATGTGGAAACAACATGAGAACATGAAAACATTATATCATAACAAGCATGCCTCATATGCATAGTAAACATTATCTCATACCCTGTAGAGGAGATTAACAAAGATACAATTTTTTGGTTAAATGTCAATGATTGTTTCCAATCTTTATTTCTATACCTGAATTTATCCTTATAAACACTGGTGCAAATTTAACATCATAACATTTGTCTCAAACCTGGTTCAATTGAATGCAACAAGATAAATGTTGTTACTAGATTAAATTCCTGGTTCATACCCTTATTCTTGTCTTAGGTTGGTTTGAGTGGGGCACTGGAAACACTGTGCGGGCAAGGATTTGGTGCAAAGGATTACCAAATGCTGGCAATTTACCTACAAGTCTCTTGCATCATACCTCTTATTTTCTCCTTCATTATATCAATTATTTGGTTCTATACAGAACCCATCCTAGTGTTGCTTCATCAATATCAAGACATTGCAAGAACAGCTACTCTTTATATGAAGTTTTTTATCCCAGGATTGTTTGCATATAGCTTTTTGCAAAACATCTTGAGATTTCTTCAGACACAATCTGCAGTAATGCCATTGATTGTACTATCAGCTCTTCCATTGTTGCTTCATATTGGTATTGCATATGGCTTGGTTCAGTGGTCAGCTTCTTTGTAAAGGGCATGGTCAAAATGAGCAACATCAACACTCTCACAGGAAGCTAGGACAGATCAGAATCAATTGCAGAAAATTAAAATCTCAATTCCTGAAATAAATTGAATTACAAGAACAGGTAGTCACCTTCGAACTAACTGCTCAAGTTCCTCTTCCTCCTCAGCTTCTTCGTGATCAAATCGAGGGGCAGTTGTTGTAGTTCTGCCAGCAAGAAGGTCATCATGTCTTGCAAGAACTTTCTGAAGTTGCTCATTCAATTCAATTGCTCGAGAAACTATGCTTTCATCTCTGCAAAAGACCAATGCAAAACCAGTTTAAGGAAAAAATTAACCATATAATAATAAATAGATGCATTGTCAGGTTGTACATGTGCAAAACTGAAAATACATTAATATTAGGGAAAATTACAAGAGAAGATTTCATTCTGAAAGTAAATCCAGATTAGGAATAATTAATTACTTAACTTGTTGAATATGTTCAAATAGTGATTTCTGAGTAACCCTTTGTTAACTGGTTTATTCAAAATACTTGAAATGTTCTTATCATGAGTGTATCTTTGTGGTTTTCCCATAGGTTTTCTTGGGATCATGGTAGAGCTACTACGATCATACCATGCTGCTGGTGCTTTAAGAGACCAGTGAATCTCAAGTTTCAAATACTTAATAGTTCTTGTTATCCAATACTTGAATTCATCCTCTTTTAGGAAGAGGCAAACACCAAACAAGGAAACTAAATCTGAACAGAAATAAATCCAATCTAAAATATAAAAAAATAAAAATAAAAAAACTGAATAAAGGAATGAGTGAGACTAAATAACAGAAGCAAATTCGAACAGATCCTATCTAATTGTATCAGAATTGGATTCAAGTTAATTAGATTCTATCTAATTATCAGCTGCTGTATCCATTATTTCCGGCCTTGGCCTCCTTCAATGTGTATCATATTGCGGGTCTAACAGATTAACACCAAAACTCTACTGTATATATTATTAAACAATCCAACATAGTTTTCTTTTTGGGGCTTGCAATTTGCATAAGATGAGTATCAAAGGAAAATTCTTAGAGCTACCAACAGACTACAAGCAAAGGCATTTACATTCATCCTCTGAACCATCTCAGTTCCACAAAGGATAAAGAAGGAAATTGTACAAAAAAGTTTAAGTAAAGAGAAATTTGAAGCACCCTTACCTAGAAGGCATCACAAGATGCATAACCCTTTGCTTTTGAAAGGAACATTGTTCTACAAGATCAAGAGTGAATTCATCCCTTGCTCCCAACAAAAGAAAACATTTATAAAGCAAAAGTTAGGATGTAAGTATTTACAGATTCTACAATAGACTCGCAGTAGTCACCTGAGGATTTTAAGCATCAACAGCATCAAGGACCTCTTTTAGTACTTCTAATGCGTTGCTAGCCTTTTGAATAATGCTGCAAAATATAAGTAGATGAAAATGAAGAAACATCATTTACTTACAGTACCTACCAATATCTAGCTAGCTCTCCTATGTTTCAAGTAAAGAACTACATGGTGGTGGTTGTTACCAACTTACTGTATAACAAAGGCCTATATAAGCTATTAAGGTACACAAAACAAAACATATTCATAGCTTGAACTCAGTCCCCAAAAGACAAGAACTCCCAAATCCCCTAACACATGACCCAAAAAGAATAAAAGTTCAGTCTACATATTACCTGGTCCAGTCCAGATTCATATTTTAGGTCAAATGCATGTAAAATCTTCTGCAAAAAACTAAAACAAACATATTCACCAAGTAAATAAATTATTATTGAGCCAAAAATTATCATATGTAGCAATGAAACCAAATTAGCTCTCAAAAACGGAATCCTGATAAACTCATGGAAGTAACTTTCTCCTTTGTTTGAGAAACAAAATAGTTGATGGATAAAAGATCAAAATTCTCAATTCCTGAAATAATAATCATCTACACACCTTGGGACAACAAAAACACATAAATTCTGCCAATAAAAATATCAAAACATACAAGCATCAAAACGGAAAACAATAATCTCACAGAACGCCAATAATCTTGTTAAAGCACACCCAAATCATGTCATATACAACAATACTGCAAAATCCATTCAACTAGATAACACGGAGAAAACACTGTAATCAAGGAGTCATATCCTAACCTAATTAACATTTTTTCCCAAGACATTTTATCAATATAGTTAATCCAAACATGAAAGGGGAATAAAAAGCACATAAGAAAATCTAAAACAGAGCCCTCTTTTTTACACAAACCAGATCACAAACAGAAATAATTAAACCCTAAACTAAAAAACACTATTCCCGGGAATGTCAAACGCCCGAGGACCACCATGCCCGTCCCAACGCCGCCTCCGCCCCCGCCGGCGACGGGGCCACAATTGAAGTGGTTAGGCGCCCCAGGGGCCGCCCTCCTGGCTCCAAAAACAAGCCCAAACCGCCACTCGTTATAACCCAGGAGCCCGAGCCTGCTATGACCCCTTTTATTTTAGAAATCCCGGGCAGAAGCTACGTGGTCAAGGCCCTGGCCCGGTTCAGCCGCAGAAAGAACACGGGCCTATGTGTCCTGTCCGGTTCGGGAACCGTCACCAACGTCACTCTCCATCAACCCTTCGTCACCCCCGGCGCCACCGTCACTTTCCACGGCCGCTT